TGTGGAACAACATCTGAATAGCACAACATACCTAAGTATCGTTGCTGATCAAGTTCATCCTATCATGTTGATGGCGTATCCCAATGGAGATGGCTTCTTCCAACAAGACAATGCACCATGCCACAGTGCTTGTATTGTGCAGGAGTGGTTTCAAGAACATGAGGGAGATTTTACCTTGCTTAGGTGGCCCCCACAATCACCAGATCTCAATCCAATTGAGCATTTGTGGGACGAAGTTAAAAGAGCCATCAGGCAGCTGGTTCCGCAACCATCAAATCTCACAGAACTGGACAGTGCTATTCATCAGGCATGGTGTCAGATTCCTCGCATCACCTTTCAACATCTCGTGGAGTCAATGCCAAGAAGAATCGCTGCAGTATTGAAGGCAAAAGGTGGCCCAACGAAGTACTGATGGGGTGGTCATAATAATCTGGCCACTCAGTATATATATATTACTTGGCCATAAAAAAGAATGAAGTCTTACCATTTGTAACAATATGGATGGACCTAGATGATATTATGCTAAGTGAAATAAGTGAGACACCGAAAGAAAAATACCATATGATTTCACTTAAATGTGGAATCTAAAGGACAAAAAAAAGAGAACAAACAAAGTAGAAATAGACCCACAGATATAGAGAACAGACTGATGGTTGCCACAGGGGAGGGGTTTGAGAGTTGAGTGAAAAGGGTAAAGCGATTAAGAAGTATAAATTGGCAGTTACAGAATAGTCACAGAGATGTAAATTACAGCATAGAGAATATAGTCAATAATACTGTAATAACTATTAATGGTGGCAGGTGAGTACTTGAAATATTGAGATCACTTTGCAAAATACATGATTATGTAACCACTATGTTGTACACCTGAAACTAAAAGAAAATAATATTGAATGTAAACTGTAATTGAAAAAAATTTTAATAATAAAAATAAAAAAGAACAAGGCTCAGAGTTTCACTAAACTCTTACAAACATAAAGAAAAGCTTAATCTTAGGAATTTAATTTAATCCCAGGAAGTAGTACAAAACCTATTTTCTCAAATGTTTCAAGCAAAACCTTAGAAAATGTTCCCAAGTGAATCAGAACTAAACTTTTTTAGTTGAATTTTTTCTTTAAATTCTTCCTGAGAAATGAAAGAGCAGAGACAGAGGGAGAGAGAGAGGGAATATGGGAGGGAGGGGGATTACCTTTTCTAGTTGAGATTTTGGAGCAGACATCTTCTTCCATTCTGGAAAGAGGCCAGATCTGTCCAGAGAGTCTCTCCTGTAGGTAGATACAGAAGTTATAACAAAACCACCTCCTCCCTTTCCTCTTCTAAGGACCCAAGCTCTAGGGAAGGAAAGCAACTGGCTTGCTCTCACCAAATCCATAAGATAAACTTCACATCAGATTTTCCTTGAAGTAATGCAGATGATCAGATAAGCAACTTTGCACAAACACACACACACACACACACACACACACACACACACACACACACACCAATTCCTAAAGGACAGCAGCATCTGTTGCTGCTGGTCCAGGAACACTCCTCCAAGGCACTGTAGCCTGTGGAAGTTAGCATGCTCCTGAAGGCTGTGATTGGAGACAACAGTTGAAGTGCTAATGAAAGACTTGTAGCAAGGTCAGAGAGAAGACTTCATTCAACCTGCTGAAGAGAAGTCAGGAACAATGAAGGCATAGGAGCCTTGCATTCTGATGCTAGAGAACAAAATGGGAAGTCTGGTTGAACAGATGTGCAGGGATTTGCAGGGATCTCACCTGGATGTGCTATCTGAGTCAGCAGTGTAGCTATCCAGACTCTCACTCTCAGCCTCCAGTGCACTCTTTCCACTTTTCGGCTTGGGCACTTCGATTGGTACACTAGAATAAAACCCAAGAGCCAAGATATAAAGGAAGTGGGCTCTCCTGATGAGTATCAGCCTTCCTTCCAACCTATTCACAATGGTAGCCTAAGTGATCTTTCTAGAATAATTATCTGAGTATACTTTTAAAATTGTTCAGCAGTTCCCCACTGCTATTGGGATTGAGTTCAAACTCAGCATGTCAAGAAAATCCTTATGACTTGACCCCTGCTCACCTCTCCAGACTCATCTTTTAACCTCCACTTCACCTTATACTTTACATTCCAGAATGATGAGGCTCTTTTGGTTCCCTGAATTAACAACACTCTCCCTCTTTCCTCTGCCTTGGATATTCTTTTCACAATGGCCATTTTCTTCATCTGGCTAAATCAACTCCTTCAGGTCTCTCCTTATATGTTAATCCTTCCATATTCTCTCTGGCCAAGCTGCTCTAAGTCTGCATTAGTAACCTTCCTATGTGCTCTTAAAGCATCCTGATTTCTTGGTAACAGTCATCACATATCTAATTATTTATGTCTTTTAAAGAAATTATTTAATTTGTTCAATAATTTAAACAAATGATTTGTTTAATGTCTTTTTCCATTAGCCTAAGTTCTGTGAGATCAGTGAGCATGCATCTTGTTCACTGTTGTGTTCCCAATGCCTAGAAGAGAAACTAGCATAGAGTGGGCACTCACATATTTGTTGACTACATTCTTGACTAACTGCCCTCAGTGGGGCTTAAAGTATATATACAAATAAGCAATATAGTTTGAAGACAGTATTCAGAAGACCAGAATTCTTTTTCAGCTTAATGAAAATGACCAAGTCATTCAAAAGAGCAATCCTCATCTCTAAAGGAAAGAACACAATTCCTAGACCCCTTACTTTTAGGAATTTGTGAGAGCAGCAAGAAAAAAAATTTTTTCCTCAAGGATCTGAAGTAATATCATTTGGCTGCCAGGACTCCAAACTCTCCTGGTCCTCTGACCTCACCGGCTACTCCTTCTCAATCTCCTGTGCTGGTCCTTCCTCATGTTCTAGATCTCTACTCTTTGGATGTGTCCAGGCTTATTCCTTGGACTGCTTCTCTTCACTATCTGGAATTATTCCTATGTGACCTTATCTAATCTCATATTCTTTACATATTAGTAAATTGATAACTCCTAAATTTATATCTCAATCAAATGCCAGACTTATATTTCCAAGAGCCTAATTGACTGCTTGGATGTTCAAACATAGCAAGTCTGAAACCAAAGCCCTAATCCTCCCCCAAACCCGCTCTTCTCTCAATCTCATCAAACGGCAACTCCCTCCTTTCATTTCTCAGGTCAAAATTTTTAAGAATCATCCTTGATTCCCATTGTTCTTTCACAATACAAAACCAATGTGTTAGCAAATTTTCTTGGCTATATCTTCAATGTATGTCTAAAATCTAACCAGTTCTCACCCCCTCCACTGCTATTACCCTGGTCCAAACCACCATCATCTAGCTCCTGGATGGCTGCAATAGTCTTCTAACTGAACTCCCTACTTGTGCCCTTGTCCCCCACAATGTATCCTCAACTCAACAGCTAAAATGAGCTTTTAAAATATAAATCCAATATAGAATTACCATATGACCTAGCAATCCCACTCTTAGGTATACACTCAAGAGAAATGAAAACATGTTTCCACAAAAAAACTTGTTCACAAATGTTTATAGCAGCATTATTCCCAATAGCCAACAGCCCAAATGTCCATCAATGGATGAATGGATAAATGAAATGTGGTCTATATATAAATTGAAATATTATCAACAGTAAGAAGGAATGAAGTTCTAATACATGCTACAACATGGATGAACATTGAAAAATTATGTTAATTTAAAGAAGCCAGATATAAATGGCCACATTTCATTGACTCCATTTATACGGAATGTCCAGAATAGACAAATCCATAGAGAATGAAAGCAGGTTAGGGGCTTGGAGAAATGTGGAATGCCTGCTTAATAGGTCCAGGGTTTCTTTTTGGATTGATTAAAATGTTCTAAAATACATACTTTTTAAAATGTTAAAGTTATTAATTTTATACTACGTGAATTTTACTTCAATTTAGAAAAAGAAAAAAATAGTATCAGTCATTCAGAGCCCTCCATCTCACTTGAAGTAAAAGACAGAGTCCTTACAGTATCAACAAAGTCTTACATGATCTGCTTTTCACCCTATCTCTGTCTTCATATCCTACCCTTCCCCCCTTCTAATGCATTTCCAGACTACTCTAACATGCCAAACACAAACTCACCTTAGGTCTTTATATTTTTTGCTTTCTCTGCTTAGAATGCTTTTCCCCCAAATACTCTCAGGGTTTGCTCCCTCATTTGCTTCACATCTTTGTTCAAATGTTACCTTATTAAGACTTTTCCCTGGATGTCCTTAATAAAACAGTATATGTACACACATGCTTTCCTAGCACCTTTCGGTCTACTTCATTTTCTCCATAACACTTGTCAACATCTTATATACAATATATTTACTTGATTATTTATTGTCTGTGTTTCCTACCCCCAAATTTAAGCTTCCTTGAAAACAACACGGAAGGGACTTCGTTGTATTCATTAGTGTGTCACACTGCTTAAAACAATGCCTGGCAAATAGTAGGCATTCATGGGCATTTATTAACAAATAAACTAAACAGTAAATGAACAAAGATTGAAGTAAGCAAAATCTATGTCTTAGGCAGTAAACAATAAAGTTTCCAAGTTATCAACTGGTGTTTAAGGCAGCTCTATGAAAACAGGATTGGTTGAAATCCTAGGGAATGCAAGAAGTGAAACAGCAGTCATTTTTAAAGTCCAAGACACAGCAGGGAGCTTGATTTTACTTTTACTTTGGAAATATTCTTTTTTCCCCCTTTGCTCCACAGAATAAATAACCCAAAGTAAAACCATTCCTCCAGAGAGGTAGTTTAACAATGGTCCATGGAGAGTATTTTCTGCTTGTATTTTTCCCTAAAGATTAATACATACAGATCCAGAGCTAATACAAACAACCCTAGGGGTAAAAAGCAATTATTTGACATCTGTGCAGTAAAAAAATAAACTAAGAGATGGGAGTCCTGGGCTCTAACTATCTTTATGATCTTAAGTAAATCACTTATCCTGCCCTCTTTTCTGTAAAAAAATAAGGGGGTTGAATTAGATTATCTCTTAAGCTCCATAATTTTATGGAAAAGATCATTTATGGCCACTTAATCTGTTTTCATGTTTAGAATAAATAAGAGTTTTCTGGATCCAATGAGACAAAAAGTCATAGACAGCCAGAAGCAATAGGATTCAGAAATTACATTCTAACCGATGATGTCAGATGTGTTAATCAAGTTCAGGAAATAAAGCCATTCTTATCCTTATCCACAAAGGAAAAAGGGGGCCTCATCACCTAAAACAGATGAGTCACCCACCCAAGGCTGTGTGGATAAAATCACACTACATACAGTAACTCCTCACTTTGTGTCATCCATAGGTTCTTGGAAACTGTGACTTTAAGTGAAACAACGTATAACAAAACCAATTTTATCACAGGCTAATTGATATAAACAACGGTTAAGTACTTATGGCATATTTCTGATCACAAAAACACCACCAACCTTCTAAATAAAGACCCACAGCACTTCTAATATTAAACATTGAAGTAAATGTGAGTTATACATACATTTAAGAAAAATTAAAAAGAACAAGTAAGATAATTATTTTTCAACCTGCTTATTCCAGTTCATGGTCACTGGTGGCCAGAGACTCAGCTCAGGGCGCAGGACAGAAACCCGCACTGGACAGGATGCCCTTCCATCACAGGGCACACTCACACCCAGCTACACTCACTCACACTGGGATAATTTATACACCACTTAACCTAACATACACAGGTTTGGGATGTGGGAGGAAACTGGAGTATCCAGAGAAAACCCACACAGACATGGGGAGAACATGCAAATGCCACACAGATAGTAGTCTTGGCCTGGAATCAAGTTTTTTGTCATCAACATTATAAAGAAATGACGTTGAATGAAAAAATGTTATTTAAGGATTTGTTGTATATACATACAAGGAAATACTACACAGATAGTAAAATGAATGATGTAGACCCTTGGTGCTGACACAGAAAGATATCAAGGTTATATTATCCTATATATTTTTTCCTTTTTACAACTTGAATTATAACTGACATAAACTGCATGTTTAAGTGTGCAATTTGATGAGTTTTGACATGTATGTACACTCGTGAAACCATTACCACAATTAAGTTAGTGAACACATATATTACTACCCAAACTTCCCTTGTGCCCCTTGGTAATCCATCCACCTTTCTGTCACTCAAATTTAATTTGCATTTGCTATAATTTGATATAAACAGAATCATACAGTGTGTCTTTTTTATTTGGATTCTTTCACTCACCATGATTATTCTGAGATTCATCCATGTTGCTGCATGTATCAGTAGTCCATTCCTTTTCATTGCTGAGTAGTATTCCACTGTATAAACAAATGCCAATTTATCCCTTTGGGATGTTTCTAGGTTTTGGATATTACAAATAAAGCTGCTATGAACATTCATGTATAAGTCTTTATATGGACATATGCTATCACTTCTCTTGAGTAAATACCTAGGAATGGAATGATTGAATCACAAGATAGGTGTACATTTAACTTGCTAAGACACTACTAAACTGCTTTTCAAAGTGGCTTGACTATTATACATTTACACCAGCAGTGTATGAGTATTCCAGTTGCTCTACATCCTTACAGACAATTGGAATGCTCAATATTTTTCATTTTAGCCATTATAGTGAGTACATGGTAGCATCTTACTGTAATCTTAATTTGCATTTCTGTAGTAACTAATGATGTTGAGCATCTTTTAAAGTGCTTATTGCACACCTGTATATTGTCTTTGGTGAAATGTCTGTTCGAATCTTTTGTTCATTTTTTATCGAATTATCTGTATTATTGAGTTTTTAAAGTTCTTCCTCGTTCACATAATGTGCATTTAGAATAACGTTTTTAAAAGTAAATTAAAAATTTAAGAAACCCTCTAGGTCCATCCATATTGTCACTAAAGGTAAGATAAGTCAGTCAGAGAAAGAAAAATACCACATTATTTCACTTACATGTGGAATCTAAATAACAATATAAATGAACAAAATAGAAACAGACTCATAGATACAGAGAACAGACTGATGGTTATCAGAGAAGAGGGGTTTGGGGGACTGAGTGGAAAAGGTGAAGGGATTAAGAAGTACATATTGGGGGGAAAAAGTACAAATTGGTAGTTATAAAATAGTCATGAGGATGCAAATACAGCATAGAAAATGTAGTCAATAATATTTTAATAACTACGTGTGGTGCCAGGTACGTACTGGCAATATCAGGGGGAATACTTTGTAAAGTATATGATTGTCTTACCTATGTTATACACCTGAAACTAATATAAAATAATATTGAATGTAAACTGTAATTTAAAAATAAAACCAAAACGTTTTTTAAGAATCTATCCCATATGTGTACATTTAGACAGTCTGCTAGTCCATATACCAAAACTCTTGTCTGGGGCAGAAGCAGTGTGGTCACACATTTAATATATTTCCATATTGCTTTTCAACAATCATATAAAATGTGAGAAAGTTATTTGTCGTTGGCTGAGGAAAAGTTAGAAATAAAACACAAATAAAAAGCCAAAAATTCACCAGCAGAAATGGTCTTGCAAATATATAAATATGCCATTAGGTGTGTGTGTGGGGGGGGAGAAATAACTTGAAAAATGAACAAAGAACCTATTCTGGAGAATAATATAGCCCTAGGAAAATAAGTAGGTTTCTTGTGAATCTTTTACATTGCACAGGAATTGAATAGAATATAGGTTTGATAAAATGCAAGAGTTCAAATACTAGCTATTAAAGTAACAAAATTAGAGGAAAAGGAAGATTGAAATGAGAGAACAAATTAAAACCTAAATAATATAATTCATTTCAAATAATTAGAAACAGCAAAAAGGAAGGGAGGGAGGAAATAAGGGAAGGAGGGGAAGAAAAAACTGGCAGAAAATCAAAGTAATAGCACAGAGGAAAGGGTTGGGCTAATCATGCTTAATTGCATTCATCTTTCTCTTTTACCTCTTGCATTTAATAGTAAAAGAAAAGGACAGAAATGGAGAACAAGGAAATCCAATGTCCCTGAGGTGGAGAACTTAACTAATGAAAAAAGAAAAAAAGTTCAGAGTATACAATACAAAAAATTTGTCCAGCAATGAAGAAAGAACTCATCAAGGGTACACCACATGTTAGGGAAAAGTGATACACCACTGAGACATATCCTTGCTAAGTTACTAAACTTCAAGAAAACTAGCCTGGCTGGTGTGGCTCAGTGGTTGAGCATCGACCTATGAACCAGGAGGGCATGATTCGATTCCCAGTAGGGGGCATGCAAGAGGCAGCTGATCAGTGATTTTCTCTCATCAATGCTTCTCTCTCTTGCTCTCCCTCCCTCCCTCCCTCTCTGAAATCAATAGAAAAATATTTTTAAAAGAAAAATAAAGGAATTTGTTTACACACACACACACACACACACACACACACACACACACACACACGATGAGTTACCTACAAGGGAGAAAAATAAGAACTAGCTAGCTAGCCTCAGATTTCTTCACAGTTACATCCAGTGGCAGAAGACAATAATGTCTACAACATTCTGAGGGAAAGAAAGTGTGACCCAAGAATATAATATCCAGCCAAGATATCATTCAAGTATAAAGGCACTAGTAGACAGACACTCTCAACATGAAAGAATGAAATAAAAATAGCACCCACAAGCCCTTCTTGAAGGAATTTCTTAATGAAAAAATCCAGGTAATTAAGAAATAAATCAAAGTAAAGAACTCAGAAATTCAGAGAAGTCATGGTACAGTGCATGGTTATAAGCATACAATCATTTTAAATATGAACTAAAAATAAAAAAGATAAAACTAACAGATGATTTATGATAGCATAACAGAATATAAATGCCATAATAATTTGAGTAATAAAAATTGGGAGTAGGGGAAAAAGTTGGGAGGGAGTGTAAGAAACCTAATCTCCTCTTTCATAGCAGACAGTACACTTATAATGTGCAATATTGAAATAGGTAGCTTTAAAAAAAATGACTGAATGACTATTTGACCCAGCAACTCCACACCTAGGTATCTATCTACCTAAGAGAAATTAAATCATATGTGCAAACAAAAACTCGTAATGAATGTTCATAACAGCATTACTCACAAAAGCCAGAAAGTGGAACAACCCACATATCCATCAACAGATGAATGGATAAACAAATGTGATATGTACATATAATGGGATATTATTTGGCAATAAAAAGAAATGAAGTACTGATACATGCCACCACATAGACGAACCTTAAAAACATTATGTTAAATGAGAGAAGATGGTCACAAAGGACCACATATTGTATGATTCCATTTAAATGAAACATTCTGAATAGGTAAATATATAAAAACTAGTGGCCCAGTGCACGAAATTCGTGCACATTAAAAGGGAATTAATTAGAGGAAATATTTTAATATTGATATTTGCCCTTTCTCTATAATAGAAGTGTCAGAGATGAAAGACAATTAGTAAAATGTATATGAAAATCTCCCTCCTGCCCTGACTGGTTTGGCTCAGTGGATAGAGCGTCGGCCTGTGGACTGAAGGGTCCCAGGTTCGATTCCGGTCAGGGGCATGTACCTTGGTTGCGGGCACATCCCCAGTGTGGGGTGTGCAAGAGGCAGCTGATCGATGTTTCTCTCTCATCAATGTTTCTAACTCTCTATCCCTCTCCCTTCCTCTCTGTAAAAAATCAGTAAAATATATTTTAAAAAAATAGAAAATCTCCCTCCTGTCAGAGTCTGGGGCGCACTGCGGGTCCCAGAGTCAAGTCCCCGGCCACCCGCGTGCACCTCGAAATTGCGTGAGACCCAGACCCGGCCGGCCCCACCCCTATCAAGCCCTGCAGGGTGGGGGGTGCAGCCTCAGGTCCCCCATCAAGCCCTGCTGGGGGGGGGGACACAGCCTCAGGTCTCTTGGCCCAGCCTCAAGTCCCCTGGCCCCGGTGCGGGGGACGCGGACTCAGGTCCCCCCGCCTGGCCTCAGTTCCCCTGGCCCTGGCACGAGGGCAGGAAGGCGTGATGACCATTTGGATATTAGCTCTTTATTATATAGGATAGAATGTAGATCAGTGATTGCTTAGGGATAGGGAAGGATAGGGAGGCTGCGAGGAATAATAGCTACAAGATACAGGGTTTCTTTTTAAGGTGATGAAAAGTTCTATAATCGATTGGGGTAATGGTTGCACAATTCTGTAAATATACTAAAACCCACTGCACTGTACACTATAAGTGGATTAACTGTATGGTATGTGAATTTTATCTCGAAAAGTTCCTTAACAAAAAGACATTAGAAAAAAAATTAATAACTGTTCAATGTTTCATAATATTTTTTCTTAACCTTAGAGGGATGTTAATGACTGGTATATTTTACTAGAGGCCTGCTGCACGAAATTCGTGCACTCGGAGTGGGGGGTCCCTCAGCCCGGACTGCACCCTCTCACAGTCTGTGAACCCTCAGGGGATGTCCCCCATAGGGAGTGGGCCTAAGCCATCAGTCGGACATCCTTAGTGCTGCCACAGAGGCGGGAGAGGCTCCCACCACCACTGTTGCATTAGCCAGCCATGAGCCCAGCTTCTGGCTGAGCGGCGCTCACCCTGTGGGAGCACACTGACCACACGGGCCTACAGGGGAGGGCAATTGGGGGCAATATTGTAGTGACCGGCCTGCAGGGGAGGGTAGTTGGGAGGGACCAGGCCTACAGGGGAGGGCAATTGGGGGCAATGTCATAGTGACCGGTCGTTTTGCTGTTCAGTCAATTTGCATATTAGCCTTTTATTATATAGGATAGTTAAAAAAACACATTTGTCTGAAGATTAGCAATTCTTCAACTTTACTTAAGTATTTTAGTCTGATAAATTCAAGTAAAATTAAACAAAATGTTTTAAATTTATTATAATCCTATATTACAAAGATTTTCTATGTACCCATTCACCCCTCTATGTCTAGATATGCAAAAAAAGATATATGAAATAATTTTCATATAATGTGAACCCTGAAAAAGGAATTTGGGTGATTTGTTGCTTTCTTTATTATTTCCTACTAGAAGCCTGGTGCACAAATCCATGCACTGGGCCTCTAGTATGCATATAATCTTTGGTTAATCTCTTCCCACCCTCCCCCCTCCCCCTTCCCTCTGAGATTCATCAGTTTGTTCCATGTTTCCATGCCTGTGCACTGAGCATCTGCCCCCTGGTGGTCAGTGCACGTCATGGCTACTGGTCGAGCAGTTGAACGGTCACTTAGGCTTTTATATATATAGATATTGATTAAATTTTCAATAATGAGTATGTGTTATTTGTGTTTATCTTTAAGTTGTCCTTATAAAGCAAATACGCCAAAGTATTAATGTTTACATATGGGTAGTAGGATTAGGAATATTGTTTTCCTCCCTTAAAAATATTTTCATTGATTTTTAGAGAGATAGGAAAGGAGAGGGAGAGAGAAGGAAAAAGATCGATGTGAAAGGGAAACATCGATTGGCTTCCTCCTTCACGACCCCTGCTGGAAATTGAGCCCGCAACCCGGGCATGTACCCTGACCAGGAATCAAACCAGCAACCTTTTGGTGCATGGGCCAATGTCCAACTAACAGCCACATTGACCAGGGCTTTTTCCCTCCTTCTTTATTTTCTGTACTTTCCCAATTTTCCTACAATGAACATCTATTATTTTAGAGACAGAACAAAGTAAAAAATAATAGAATTAAAGAGATGTGTAGCAGTTCTTGAAATGATTGGTTCTTACCTGGGCTCCTTCTGTTGCTCCTGAATGATCTTTCTTCCTGGCCAGACATCACCCATTTGTGACTGATGATGGAGGGACTGTCCCACAGTCTCTCTTTTATTCACTTCAAAACAAACAAAAACATGGCAGAGTGGTGGTGATGAGGGGGGAAAGGGAAACACATTATACTTTCAAAAGGGATAGCAATATAATCTTTATGTTCCCCCACAATCAGGCTGAGCCCATGAAGGTAAGATACCACCAATAAGAACACATGACGTGCCCTGACCGGTTTGGCTCAGTGGCTAGAGCCTGTGGACCGAAGAGTCTCAGGTTCGATTCCAGTCAAGGGCATGTACCTTGGTTGCGGGCACATCCCCAGGAGGGGGTGTGCAGGAGGCAGCTGATCGATGTTTCTCTCTCATGGATGCTTCTAACTCTCTATCCCTCTCCCTTCCTCTCTGTAAAAAAATCAATAAAATATATTTTTTAAAAAAAGAATACATGAGGATTTCACACCAGAGGATCTATGACTTGAGGTCAAACACCTTAAGGAACCACCTCCAGAAAGATCCTCTACCTGCAGGTTTGCGGCGCAGGGACATCCTGATTATCTCACTGCCTGTGCGATAAGCAAAGCGATTCACTTTCTGGTCATAAAACCAGTCTCCAGTTGCCTTCTTCAGCTCTCTGGGAAGGAATATAAGAAAATGACAGATAGATAATGGTTCTTGTCATTCAACCAATGAAGGCTGAGAGGAGAAAGTCTCACCACAGCCAGGGCCTCATTTCCTCTCTCTACTCAGCCCTAAGTGACACTCACATTTCCTTGGCGCACACCTTGCACCTCCAGGTACCATTGCTTTCATGAATACGGCAGTCTCGGCACACCAGGTGATTACAACCCCGACAAGTGTTGGTCTTAGGAGTCAAACGGCCCAGGTTCTCCTGGCACCGGGCACAGGTCCGATCACTATAGTGTTGGCTGCCCCTCTTGGCCCCTTTCCTTTTTATTTCCAGTAATTCATTCTTCAATCGCCTGCCGAGACCCAAAAAAGAAGTACAAGTTTATTCAGGATTTGCACAGGTTAGAGAGAGAGGGGTTGTGGAGTAGAGACAGTAAAACTATTTAGTTCTATGAAAGCAATCACCTCAGAGCCCAACCTAAGCCAATGAAGAGTTGTAAACGTCATACACAAGTTCCTCTGAAAGTCATATCCTGTATAATAAAGAGGTAATATGCAAATTGACCATCATTCCAACACACAAGATGGCCGGCAGGGGAGGGCAGTTGTGGGCCATTAGGCCAGCAGGGGAGGGCAGTTGGGGGCAAACAGGCTGGCAGGGGAGGACAGTTAAGGGTGATCGGGCTGACAAGGGAGGGCAGTTAGGGGTGACTGGGCCAGCAGGGGAGGGCAATTGGGGGCGACCAGGCCTGCAGGGGAGGACAGTTAGGGGCGACCAGGCTGGCAGGAAAGGGCAGTTAGGGGAGACCAGGCCAGCAGGGGAGGGCAGTTAGGGGCAATTGGGCTGGCAGGGGAGCAGTTAGGCGTCGATCAGGCTGGCAGGGGAGTGGTTAGGGGGCAATCAGGCAGGCATGCAGGCAAGCAGTTGGGAGCCAGCAGTCCCAGATTGGAGAGGATGCAGACTGGGCTGAGGGACACACACACACACACACACACACACACACACACGCGCGCGCGCATGCACGAATTTTGTGCACCAGGCCTCTAGTGAGAGTTATAAGAAAAAGTCTGGATATCACTGGTCAAAAGCCTGGGAACCCATGCTTTTTCTGGAACTCTTACCTAATCCTTTTCTCATCTGCTTTTCGGAGTTCCTCATCTCGTTGTAGAACACTAATGATCAAATCCCTTTCCATCTCAGACAGAAAAGAGAGGTCAAGCATCTCCGACATGACTTATTCTATTTTTCCTTCTATTCTTCTTTCTTCAAAGCAACCAGCATAGGAGAGCTACCAGAGTTGCCTGAAATAAGTTAAGAATTAATTTCACACAGATAATTTACTCCAGAATAGGCCCACAGCTCTAGAGGCTTTTAGTAGACCACTTTCCCCTTGAGTCAGGCTAAAGAGACAATCAATGCAGCCCAGCTGGTGTGGCTCAGTGGTTGAGCATCAACCTATGAGCCAGGAGGTCATGGTTCAATTCCTGGTCAGGGCACATGCCTGAGTTGTGGGCTCAATCCCCAGTGTGGGGTGTACAGGAGGCAGCCGATCAATGATTCTCTCTCATCATTGATGATTCAATCTCTCTCTCTCCCTTCCTCTCTGAAAGCAATAAAAACATATTTTTTAAAAAGAGACAATGTAGAATTATCTGACCTATTTACCATTCCTACACCCCTGAATTAAAGATGGGGCTTTGATTTAACATTAAGAGGCTTTGATTTTTCAAGTAGAAAAACTTATTCATGACTCCGGGAAAGGGTTGGGTCTTTCATCTTGGTCAGGAAAGAGTTCAGACCAAATGAGTCAAACTCCCCCTCCACCAAGCAGATCCTCAATCATCCAATTTTCAATACTTTAAATGTTCTCAAGCCCCAAGTCTATTAATGCAAAAAATCAGATACCTGTTCTCTGTAGTAGAAGAGAAAACCACATGAGGATTCCTGCCATTTGAAGCCCATTTTTCCTTTCCTGACCAACTTCCATGTTCCCAGGATTCACTCAGCTTTCAGCTACATTTCAAAACTTCCATCACCTACTCTATCTCCCAAAGTTCTTTTTTTTAAATTTTATTTTATTGTTTAAAGTATTACAAATAGTAGTACATATGTCGCTTTTTTTCCCCATTGACCTCCCACCGGCCCCTATACCCTGCCGCCCGCCGGCACATGCCCTCACCCCCCATCCAGTGTCTTGCATCCATTGGTTATCTTTATATGCATGTATACAAGTCCTTTGGTTGATCTCTTATTGCTAACACTACCTCAAGGATATCTTTACCCATTCCATGCACATTTGTTGAGCACCCACTCTAACAGCCATTGTGCAAAGTGTGAGAAATAGATCCGTAAAACAGTTCCTGCCTTAGGTTCACAGGGTAGTAGGGCAAACAGATACATAAAAATACAGTACAATGTACTAAGTTCTATCAGAGGGATCATAAATTAAATGCTATGGAACTTAGAGAAGGAAGAAAATAATTCTAACTTGCATAGAGAGGGAAAAGAGAGCACTGCATACATGGAAGGCTTTATAGAAGAGGTGAATTTTGTCTTATACAACAGAGTATATGTTTGCCAGTAGGGGACAATGTTAGGAGAGATAGGTCAGGGTGAGATTATATAAATCTCAAATACTCTTAAAAAATTAAGAATTTTAAAATTCATTATATAGACAATAGAAATCCATCAAACATCTTTGTTGCTGCTTTGTTTCTTATATTGGGAAGTCACATGATCAAATTCATTTTACAGAGATCAATTAGCTATAATATAAAAGGCTGACTTAAAGGACAGACTGAAGTGCAATTTGATAGTACATAACACATTGTAAAATATGCATACTGCTTAGTCAAGCAATACCACTTCTAAGACTCTACCTAATAGAAATATTCACACAAATGTGAATGCAAGGGTATATGTACAAGAATGTTACTGCAACATTATTTGCAAGAGAAAAAAAAGTTCTTTAACAAATGAATCATTAAACCAAATACTACTTCCACATAACAACATACTATGTGGCCATTTAAAATGTGGTAGATCTATATGAAAATACATCCCTGAGTGGAAAAGAAGTAGTTGCAGGAAAATATTGAATGATCTTTTTTGGTAAAGTATTTATCTAAACATTTGTAAGAGAAGAAATGGGTTTAGAAGTAAGGCAAGAAGCATAGTTTTAGTCATATTGAGTTTGTGCTGCATACAGCATATTCAGGTAGTTAGACCCAGGATGTTGAAGGCACAGAGCTGAACGTTAGGAAGAGAGACTATATCTGAAAATATATATTTGGTAGTCATGTGAGTCAGAGCCCAGGAGAGAGATATGAGGTTCATATTTACCTTCTCTGCTCTCCCTTAAAACTAGACAACAAACCCTTTTAAACTTAAGGTGTTTTTTTTTTGTTTTTTTTTTTGTTTTTTTTTACTAATTACCTACTGGATAATCTACACTAATAAAACAGAAACATGCAAATTGGTGTCACTCCGCTACCCTTCCCATTGGCTAATCAGGGCGATATGCAAATTAACTGCCAGCCAAGATGGCGGCCGGCAGCCAGGCAGCTTGAAGCGAACATGAGGCTTGCTTGCTTCAGTGACGGAGGACTCCAACGTCCCCCGCCTGCCACTGCTGGCCTCTGAGCTTGCAGTTTGAAACATTGTTACAAATATAGAAGCTAAACAAAACCCCAGAAACTTGCTTTCAACCAGCCAGGATCTCAGAGCTGGAGTTGAAACAGTGTTTCGATTATAGAACCCAAACAAACCAGATACCTGCTTTCAGCAGCCGAGGCCTAAGAGCTGGAGCCAAGCCTCAGAGCTAAAGCTGGCCCAGAATAAAAAAGAAAAAAAGGAGCGGTTGGGAGCTTCAGTCCCCCGCCAGCCTGAAAACAGCCCTCAGTCCCTCACCCAGA